TCTCACTAGAGTGTTGTGGGCACGGGGACTGTTGCGCCAATGGAGCCCTGTGAAACGGTTGTCGTGTTCAACACGACAACCGCCACGACGGTTGTCGTGTTGAACACGACAACCGCTTCGCAGGACTCCCTCGGCGTACTGGTCGTCCACATGCCCAGGACACTCTAGTGCAACGGTCGGGGGAGTCCTGCAAGCAGTTGTCGTGTTCAACACGACAACCGCCGCGCAACATTCAGGAGGGAACTTGTATCCCTCCTGAATGTTGCGCGGCGGTTGTCGTGTTGAACACGACAACCGCTTGCTGAACTCCCTCGGGGTAACAGTCCCCGTGCCCACGGCACTCTTGTGAGACGCCGAGACGGTCGTCGTGTCGAACACGACGACCGCCACAACTCAAAGCTTGAGCGAGGGCTGCAATGCCATCACGACGAGGTGCTCTGTGGGCGGTTGTCGTATTGAACACAACGATCGTGAGGCAGCTCGCTGTGTAGAACCTGCATCGGCACCCAGCCCTAATGTTGCGCGGCGGTTATCGTGTTGAACAGGACAATCGCTGTGCAGGACACCTGTTGTCGTGTTCAACATGACAAAGGCTGTGCAGAACACCCACGGGGTGCACCGCGGTGGTTGTCGTGTTGAACACGACAATCGTTGTGCAGGACACCGATTGTCCGTGGCCGTCATGCACCCCGCTATTATCCAATCTTGCCCACGGCCGTCATGCATCCCGCTCGAGTGCAGTGTGGCATTGGGCAACCGCTGAACTTGCATCCCCCGCTGGATGCTGCGCGGCAGTTGTCGTGTTCAACACGATAACCGCTTCGAAGGACTCACGTGAGGTGATAGATGGACACGTGCCCACGACACTCTACCGAGACGGTCGTCGTGTTAAACTTGATGATCGCCACATTGCCAAGTTTGAGCGCGGGCTGCAGTGTCGTCCCGACGAAGTGCTCTGCGGATGGTCGTCGTGTTGAACATGACGATCATCGAACAGTTCGCAGTGATGAACCTACATCGGCACCGAGCCAATCCATCCTGAACTTGGTGGAGCGCGGGCTACAGTGCCATCCCGACGACGCCGTGTTGAACCTACGTCGGCACCCACCCTGAATGCTGCCCGGCGGTCGACGTGTTCAAAATGACATCCACTGCGCAGGGCTCCCATGGCTCGCACTTGCCCGCAGCGAACGTCTTGTTGTTAGCCGTGTTCGACACGACCAACGTGCGTGGTTGTCGTGTTTGACATGACCACCATGCGCTCCTTACGAAAAAGCCTTGTTCTCATGTTCGAACCGGACGCCGGTTGTCGTGTTCAACACGGCAATGACTGCACACGACAACAACTGTGCATGACTCCCGTGGGGTGCCAGGCGGTGTCGAGCGCATCGGTCTTGTACCGCACAAGGCAGCGCGGGACCCTCCTGGCCGCGTCACGCAGGAGTTGGTTTGAATCCTTCGTCGCAAATATACGCGGAGCTTCCGCAAGCCGCTCCAGTCGAGTGCGCCAGCCATACCTCCCGCGAGCCCCTACGACAGGATAAGGCCTACGCGAGGCAAGACTTACCTCCACCTTACGGGAGTTGTCACCCCCCCTTCTGTGGGCGTATCCTTGCCGAGCTACCAGTCCACAGTACGAAAGCTGATCAGTTGCAATCGCAGAGGTGGACCAACTGAGGGCGTTTCTCGTACGCGCGGTAATACGTAATACGCCTCTATCAGCCCCGCACGCGAGCCGACGCACTGGGAAAGTTGAAATCCCAAGCGCTGGCCATCGTCTGTCGACTAGGACGCATCCCACTCACCACGCGCACACCACTCTACGAACACAAAAATAAAACACACGTAAACGGCACGCATGAAACGACACAACACAAACAACATGACAACCCTCCTAGCCCCTTTGCAACCGTCCCATAACTTTCCGATGCAGAGTCCGATGGGCTTCGCGCGCAAGACTTGGTATAAAACCGTGCGGAGGCAGGGCCTACTCATATCGACTCGCAATGCAAGTGTGCGCAAGCAGTCGCAATGATGGCGTACTATGTAGTACCTATAATTAAGCGGTCCCTCGTGGATCCGAGTACCGCTTATGACACTCAAGTGTCAGACTCGAAGTATCGTGATGGCCTGATCCCTCACGATATTGCACGACTGAAGGAATAACCGCGCGACCACCGCGAGACCTCCGCCCTTTGGCTTGAGTGTCTTGGCAGGCAACGCAAATAGGCTCTACACGGGGGCAGATTCCTTCCTTGCAGAGTCTAGGGCTTGGGATGTCCTGGACAAGGACCTCGAATCCCGGCCCATGACCAAGGTCCGCCAAAGCATCCTTAAGAAGCAAACGAACATAAGGAATGGTCTTCCCTGTTTTTTTCTCAACCTTAACCCCTAAGTAGGCCTTTAGTACGAGGCCCCTCAGGCCACGTGGACATCCAGCATAGGTACACACACACACACATATATATATATATATATATATATATATATATATATATATATATATATATATATATATATATATATACAC